GCTGCTTCTCTTGACACTGTCAATGGGAATCCTGCACAGCCCAGAAGTGCCAGCAGTCACTCCTAGGGCTCCTGACCTTCCCTGACCCATGATGACACTACTGCAGTGTGCATCCTGCTAGCTGCATGTTCTCCAGGTGACCCTGTCCTGATGCCTGTCTCCTGACTTCTGCAGGCTGCCCAGCATGTGCCCATTTTCACTAGTTTCCAGTGAAAGAGTAAACAGAAGGCAAATCCATCAGCATTTCCTTATACATCCCTACTGGTTGCATCCGTGCATGTCCTTTACAGCGCTTGCTACTGTGTCCACTATAACATTACACAAACTTGCAATATAAATTCCCAAGGGGTTACAACACCCACAAACTCCCCTATGGCTGCTGGGTTAGCACATATTTCTTTTTAGGAAGGATGTGGTAAACCTTCATCTGTGGCCAGTTGTCTTTCTGCTGTGTAAGTCCATAAACATCCATGTTTCCCTCTCTCTATCCTCTGCCCCAGGATGTCCCACATCCCTCTGCTCTGGGATGTCCCACGAGACACACATACAGGGTCCCACTGGCAGAGCATGTCCTGGTACAGTGGGGTGTCATGCAGGACCTCCTAATGACCCCAAACATACACCAAAAGCCCCCAAGGCTGCATGTTGTGAGGCCCAAGAATGCTTCTGAGAGCTTTAAGCACCATATTGGGGTACCTTTTTCCCCTCCCTGTCCCCCACCACACACAGGCAGGCTGCTGCTAGTCCTACAAGCCCAATTTCTGGAGCTGTTCTGTGTAACCCAAACAAAAAAACCTCATTTCCTTCATGGCTCTTCGGTGGGCACTGCTGCAGCATCCCCACTGTCAGCCCCAAACCCCTTCTGTTGCACTTTCCTTCCTCCCACTGCACAGGCAGGGGATGATGAACCTCACTATTAGCTGTGTTGGGGCTTGGAGGGGGAGTCTGCCTCGCAACAGCATTGGAAAGCATTAACACAGGGAGATTCAGGATTGGAGGGGATAAATGAGGGGGGAGGTGATGTGTGTGAAATGGCACTTTATATCTTCCTTGTATGCTTAGCTCCTCCCTCCCCTGGAGTGACCAGGGATTCTCATACTGCTTTTCACCTCCTTACAAGTCCCCCCACCATGGTCTCTGGTGTGTCTGCTGCCTGTGATCTCCTTCTACCTTGCCCACATGGCCTGAGACTGTCCCCACTCTTCCCATTATCTGCTGAGAACATACCAGTTCTTCCCAGCCCTGGATGTCTCACCCTCCCATGCCCACCTGTGAGCAACACAGAGCCCTCCCCACTCCTCCAGGCAGGAAAACCTGACTTGATCCTGGTGTTTTCCTGCATAAACCATCACACAGAGACCAAAACAAAGAGCTACCGGGGTCAGGCAAGTACCGGGAACATGCGAGGCACAAGCCTGGTCTCTCTTTCTTTGGCAACTAGTGACAAAGCAACAAGACGGGTCCTTTGTACCAGTCCCAGTCCCTGCATTCTCCCCCCACATGCCACCCCACTCCCTCCCCGGGAAACCCCAGGGGATGTCCTGCAACACTGCCAGACTGTACGTCTACTTCACTTAGGACAATTCATCGCTGTAATCTCCAGTACAGCCACTGATCTGATTTGTCTGGGAATAGCATCTGCTGCTTGGTATCATTCTGTATTCATCCACATTTGCCCAGAGACAGCATGGGTGTTTTTTTGCTTTACAAAACAAAGTAAAACCATCATGAAATTAATTCATTTATATCTATTCTCCTGTTTCTTCACAACAAGATTAACTGAGAATTGCTCTACTCAGGTCTGACTCCCTGCCATATTTTCAGAGGATATTGGCTGAGCTCTTATTTCCTTAAGCGTGTGCACCAGAGCTCTCCTGCACTTCAGGACAAAGAACAAAGTCTCTTTGTTGTCCCATAACAGCGATATATGGGATCGAGAGACGGTCCCTTACTGAGCTTACCCGGAGTTTTGCCTGGTTCCCAGTGCTCAGAGACATGTGGGATTTGTTTCAGTGGGCAGAATTATGCTGAGAAAAGACAGAATTCTTCCTTCTCCAATTCCCATGAAGACAGCAAAGGAGAAATCACAACATGAGTTTAAACCTGCTTTCTGGTTTAGGGTCAATGCAGCACTCCGGGATCCATTCAAACCACAAGCCTAAGCTATCTTGTCTTTATTGCTATTTAATTTGGGTCAGACAAATACAGCTAAAAGCATGTCCTGTTTTTACCTTTTCATGTAATAGGTGGCCTGCATTCCCCAAGCTCCAAGCAGAGCCCTGTAGTTCAGAGGGCTCATGGTGTGAGCTAACATTGGAGAGAGTAACAGCAGGCAGGACTCAGGCCCTCAACCTCTTTATTACCTACACTACCAGCCACTGCCTGGGGAATTCACACATTAGACATCAAAACGCTGGGAAGAGCACAACGGGGAGCAGACTGCTCTCCAGGATTTGCCTGTTTGATGTCTAGGAAGACATCAGGGCTGGGCACTGAACATATGATACCACTTTCTATTCCCTTCCTTTACTATTGTGGCACAGGTTTAGAATAAGAACATCTCCCTCAATTTAACTTAAAAACAGGATAAAAGAAACAAGGAAAATAATTTTTTTTTTCCTTTTTTCAAAAAAGAGAGCTGTTTCATTGCAAACGTGGCGCCTGCACACAGGCAGGCGGGGAAAGCAGCAGGAATTAAAATCCACTGAGTTATTTCAGTACCAGCCTGTACGAGCAGGCTGTACGTACAAAGCCCTTCTCCAAACCCAAGGGCCAGCCTGGGAAGCCCATATTACAGGAACCCCTAACACAACAGCACTGACATGAGCTCCTAGCAGCTGTTCAGGGACTACTGTGGGCACCCAGGTCACAGATCACCAGGGGTAACATCACGGCTCATGCAGCAGAACCAACACATTGGGTAGTTTAGCTCTCTGAGGCTGTCTTTCCTCCTGCCCTTTCTCTTCCCACCCCACGTGCTGCTGCTCCCTCTTAGGCACTGCAAAGGGGCTGGAGATGTAGAGCTTTAGCCAGAGGCTGGGGTGAGAGTCACTGCCCCATGACCTGAGAAGAGGTTCCTGTCACTGAGTTAAGTAGGTCTGGACTGCATCAGATCTGTGCCTTGATGAGCACCAGCATGATGCTAGAAGAGGGGGCAATAGAGCTTGCTTTGATGGAGCTCATTTACTTGCTTCTGTAACAAAGCTATTACAGCAGCTCTGGTGCACTTCTGTATTAACAGAGCTTTGTTAATTGTCATTGGAACTAGAGCGTAAATGGACAGAAAGACACTTCCTGATTAAAATGTTGTCAGTGATGGGGAACCCAACAGACCTCTGAGAGAACTATTCCAGCAATGGCCTTGTTTTAAAGTCCACGGCTGGTTTCTAGTAGGAATGCTTTACTTCAAAGGCTCACTCCATTTTAGCCTTGTCAGCTAGAAGATCCCAGTAACAAAGCTTAATCACTGCAACAAGTTGGCTATAGCAGGCTTTTCATTTTCTGTTAAGCTAAATTATCAAGCCAGACCCAGGCAAAGACTCAGACACAAGCAGCTGCCACATATGTTTTACTGCAAACTCCAACACTAAAATCCAAGACCCAACACTCCCTGTGGCACCATGTAAACCTCCACAGGAGCTGCCCAAGTGACCACCAGGAATGACAAAGCACAGAGGTACGAGCTTCTCTCTTTTCCACAGCCAGCCAAAGAAGCACATTATCCAAATTTACTCCTGACTGCTCCAAGGGTGTAATCCTTCAGTTTGCCCTCCCAGAATATACTGTTTTCACATGTAAGTTATCCTGGAGGTAGTTTCATCATACACAATAACTTCTGGTCTGGTTGAAGTATACACAGAGGAGGGTGGACTCCAAGTTTAAATCCTTTCTTACCCTGATGGTACTCAAATAAGCTCACCCTTTGAAGAGGATCCCTGCCTCTTGCTTATGGATCAGGAGGGAAGACAGCAAAAGTGAAGGGCACCTGCTCAACATTTTCTTATCAATGCTTTCTCACCATGGGCCAAGAAAAGCAAACTGCTGGGCCAGAGGCAAAAGCACACAGTCACGAGAGGGGTACTTTTTGGAGGGAGGTCTCTACTCTGCAGCCCCAGCTTCTTATCTTTTTGACACCACATGCAAAAACTCAGACATGGCTTTGACAGCAAGACCAGACCTTAGGAAATATCCTCCCTGTGAGTCTCCTGAACCATTAATTTCTTCCTTAGCCTCCCCCTGCCCAGTTGCCCAGCTCCAGTGGGAAGCATGGAGAGTGTTCCTCACCTGAATAAACCATCCCATGTTGGTGATAGCACTTCCCAAGGAATTCAAGAAAGGTTTCAAACTTCCCAACAGAGCTGGATCCAGGGGTCCCAACCCTGATTCAGCCAGACTAGTTCACAGGAGAAAGCACATAGAGCAGCATTTCATGAGGGATCTGATCTTAGATGTGGCTGGGGCATGTTTCTCTAGAGGGGCCTCTGGGGACCTGGGGCTCAGTCTCTGGCTGCCATAGGGGCTTACACAGCCAGAGCAGGCAATACCCTTCAGCAGCACAGAGCCTGAGGCTCCGTGACTGGTAAAGGAACTCATGGTGATTTCTAATGGCATCTGTTCATGGGGAGGAATCAAGATTCTGGACTCAGAATCTAGTCTAAATGCTCAAAATGTGTTTCAGAGAAGAAACCTTTCTCTGTGAAGCATGTTTTCCAGTCTCCTAATCATCTCACAACTTTACCTGAAGGTCCCTCTGGCACCTGACAATCCTTGAGCTGCAGACACCAAAACCAGACACACCATTGCAAACAGCAGCTCACACCACCACAAAACAGAGCTGGCCCAGAAGCAGCACTCTTTCTGACTCTTTAGCTGAACAATTCTAGCAGTGACAGGGAACACCCATTCTCAGAGCTACCAGTCAAGGACTTTCCAGCCGTGAAAGTGGCATGCAAAGGGAAGAAGCATTCACCAGACATATACATGAAGATAGAGGCACTTACCCACTGGTTCCAGGTCTCTGGGTCTGAGAGAAGCGCCAGTCTGTGTTAGGCTGAGGTTGCTGCAAAGAAAATAGAAGAGTTTTAGTACCTCCATTCTTGATTTGAAAATGAAAACGAACTGATCCTGGATTATTTCAGTGTGGAATATCAGCGTGTTCCTTCCAAGTAAAGCAAATCAATTAAACAAAAGGAAAGCTCCCCATCCTCCTTTCTTGAGGATTTCTGAACCAGCATGAATACTGAAAAGCATGAAAAAAACTATTCAGCAAATAATCTTCCACAGCAGCTCAGGAAACCAGGCTGTGAAAGAAATGAAGCATGAAATAAACTGATAAGAGCATCAATTCATCAGGAGTGATGGTACCAAAGTAATGAGCTTGGAGGAGCAAGGGAGTGGGGGTGGTAGCTGATACTGAGAAAGGTGCTTTTAATGCCAGAAGGTAAAATGGAAACAGACCTTCCTAATCTGTCCTTCTTCTGTTCTTAAAAAGGCCTGCCTCAGGATCCTGATCTCACACATTGTATTTGAATGACTTTTCCTAGATGTTGTGCCCTCAGAGCATTACAATATTTTTCTGTCCACAAAGAAAAAGAATGAACTTCCGACAGCAAAAGAAAAAGCATTATTTGTTTAGGAGACACAATCAACTTTGGACACAGCAGCACACTTCATTAATAAGCCCCCGTATCACTTTCTGCCTGTGTTATTCCACCATCAAACAATGGACATTTTGTAAATAAGGAAGGACATGAAGCAAGCTTGTGTATTCCTGTTTGAATCACGCCTTTGTGAAGAGCACTAAATAGCAGAACTGTTTGCTGTCTGGAAGACACATACTTCCGAGAATCATAATCTCCTTAATTAACTCCAGAATGATAACATGCGACCTGGAAAGAACAGCATTTCTCTCAGTTACCTTCTGAATGAGCAGTTCATCATCCATACAGCGGAACATCTACTTTATAGGATTATTCTGCTTGTACATGCAATTACTAAGGAAAAGTGAAGATGGGTAAAGCTGACCTAGATTTTGATTTAGTAAATGTGATTTCACTAATTTCTCCACAGCTTTGATGATTCTGATGAAAGAATATATTAGAATAAATTACTCCCCTAAAATAGAGGCCCTATTGGTACCCAAGTGGCATGCAAATGAAGCTGTTTAAACACTTGCCCTTCAGATTTGAGATACACATTTCTGCACACAGAGTCCTGCACTAGATAAGCCCTTCTCAATCTGTATTTTGAATTCCTGTCATAATTACTACTTTCAAATTTAGGGCAGGCATTTATGACACAAAATTACTTTACTTTTTATATCCCAGCGTCATAAAAGCTACAGCTAAACACAGTCACCTACATCCATATTTAGACATCTGAATATGAATGGCTACAGTCTCTGCTAGCCCAAGGGCACGTAAGGTCACCAAGATGCTTGCAAAAAATGTCACTATGTTCAGTGCTGAATAGTGAATTCAGCCCCTTGCTCAGAATAACCAAGCTGGAAATGACCCCTTGCCAGAGAACAATCAGTATTTAATAACACTTGGGGGTTAAGAAAGGAGAAATACCTACAATACACCTCTAAACCAAAGCAAAAGAAACACCAACAAACTTTGCTTTCAGATAATCTTGTATGCCATGCAGAATCATAGAACCATAGAATAGTTTGGGTTGGAAGGGACCTTCAAAGGTCATCTAAGTCCAACCCCCCTGTAATGAGCAGCAGTTAAAAGAATCAAAAAGTTAAACACCCCCCCAAATCATATTCCTGACCATGCTAAGAATCACTTTAAAAAGAAGAGTACGAACGGTGCCAAGACACTCCAGCTCTACAAACACACAGTCTCTGATTTTGTAGTGCTGCCCACCCCCTTCCCCACTTCCACCAAACCGAGCCAAAGCTTTCACCTGCCACTTCCCAGAAGGTGACAGTGACACATGCTCCCTGAAGCCACCTTCTCAGGTAGAAGGACAGACAGAGAACAGCCAACTGGCCTGGATATTACCAACCATTGCACTTAGCAGACAGGACAGCAAGAACCACCCCCCCTTTCTTACCCCATCGCAGGGACTTGCTAAGGTGCTGGTCACCTGCTCATAGGCAGCCACAGTCTCTGCAGTGCTAGAATGGCTGAAAGGTTTTACAAAGAGGAAATCACTCTGGTCAGACATGGGCGAAAAACAAGAGGTGTAATTCTGTGCCTGGGAGGTCAAGCCCGCTCCTCCCACGTCCAGGTACTTGATGAAGCCATCTGGCTTCATTTGCCCACGGAAATGGGAGGCAGGTTTGCTGCCAGTCCCTCGGCAGCAACCCGCAAAGGTCCAGCTGGCAGTGCCAGCTTTGAGACACCGGGCAGCTGCCACAGCAAACATCACACAGGACACAAGGGAAATGGAAACCAAGGAGATGATGAGGTAAAGAGTTAGGTTGGTATCCTTGGGAGAAGATTTGGGAAGGTCCAAGGACTTGGAAAAGTCCTGCACACTGTTTTCCTCTGGAGAAATTACTATTACCACAGAGGCTGAGAGCGATGGTGTCCCATTGTCCCTCACTTCAACCACCAGCCTGTGGGGATCTTCTGACTCCCTGAGAGCCTGTGCAACCCTTATCTCTCCAGAGCGGCGTTCCACTTGAAAAGGCAAAGCCTCAGCAGTCTCCTGCAGCTGGTAGGACAGCCAGGCATTATGGCCACTATCAGCATCAACAGCTACAATTTTGGTGACCAGATAGCCAGGTTCTGCCAAGGCCGGGATGGTTTGGTGGAAAGCAGAGCCCTTAGGGACAGATGGATAGACAATGGTGGGGGCATTGTCATTCTCATCCAGGACAAACACATGGACCACAGCAGTGCTACTCAGTGCAGGAGACCCACCATCCTTCACCTCCACAGGCACCTGGAACACCTTGTCCTGCTCATAGTCCAGAGCTCGCACGGTGTAGATGGTGCCGTTGTCCTGGTCTATTCGGAAGTAGGTCGAGATGGGTATATCCTGCACCCCATTGTCCAAGATGGAGTAAGACAGCTTGGAGTTGCTACCCTCATCAGGATCAGATGCTGACATTGAAAAGACAGAAGTTCCAGGAAGGGAGTTTTCCTGAACGTGAGCTGTATCAAAAGGGCTGCTGAAGTTTGGTGCATTATCATTCACGTCAGCGATTTGGAGGTAAAAGGTTTTTTGGGTAGCCCTCTGTGGGAACCCTGAATCCACAGCCCTCACTGTGATATTGTATCCACTGGCCTTCTCCCGATCAAGGGGACCATTTGTAACCAGGGAGAAATGCTCTTTAAAAGATGACACCAGTTTAAATGGGAGCTCTTTTGCTATCTGCAAACGGACCTGCCCATTGTCACCAGAATCGCTGTCCTTCACACCAATGAGGGCAATCACAGTGCCAGGGGTTGCATCCTCCTGCACTGGGCTGGAGAGAGAGGTCAGCACGATCTCTGGGCTGTTATCGTTGATATCAATTAATTCCACTCGCAGGTGACAGTGTCCTTCCATGGCTGGAGATCCCTTGTCCCTGGCTCGAACCGCAATCTCATAAGCACTGGATTCCTCATAATCCAGGGGGGCTTTGGTTCTGATCTCCCCTGTCCGGGGATCTAAAGAAAACAGCTTAGTGAATTTACCAGGTGAATTATTGCTTGTTTTAAAAGAATATTCCACATCCCCGTTGGGACCTTCATCCAGGTCAGTAACATTCAGCTTGGTGACTAGAGTGCCCACCGGTACATTCTCCTCCAGCTGTACCTTGGATATAGGTGGATCACAAACAGGAGGGTTGTCATTTGCATCCAGGACATGGATGGTAACCTTGGCAGTGCCAGATTTCACCGGATTCCCTCCATCCAGGGCTGTCAGTGTTAAATGATGAACAGGCACTTTCTCTCTATCCAGTGCTTTTTCAAGTATGATCTCGGGCATTTTAACCCCATCTCCCCTCATGTTGACACTCAGGGCAAAATGCTCGCTGGGGCTGAGTTCATAGGTGGAGATGGAGTTGGAGCCCATATCCGGGTCTTCTGCTACCTCCAAGGGTAGCCGAGTCCCAGGGTTGGCTACCTCGGTGATCTCCAAGACCACCTCTGGTTTAGGGAACTGGGGCGCGTTGTCATTCACGTCGAGGACGTCCACCTCAATACGGTGGAGCTGGAGGGGGTTCTCCATGACGAGCTGGAGGTGTAGGGAGCACGTGGGGCTCTGCCCACACAGTGCCTCCCGGTCCAGCCTCCTATCAAGGAGCAACACGCCCGCCGCTAAGTCCACCTGGAAATGCCGCTGCCCCCCCTCGCTCACCAGCCGCAAGTTGCGAGTGGCCAGGCTCTGCACCTCCACCCCTAGGTCCTTGGCCAGGTCGCCCACCGAGGAGCCCGGCTCCCGGTCCTCGGGCACGGAGTAGCGGAGCTGGGCGCTGCTGGGAGCCGGCAAGCAGGAGAGAGCTGCGAGCAGCAGCGGGAGCTGCCATGGCCATCCCCGTTCCCCAGGCATCCCGTGCCGGGTCTGCGAGCGGAGCAGCGCGGAGCGGAGCGGCGGCGGCTCCGAGCAGCCTCCCCCGCCTCCCCGCTGCCAGCCCCGGCAGCCGCCGCCGCGCCAGAACCCCGGTGCCCCGGGGGGTCCGAGCGGGTGTTGCAGGGAGGAAGCCGCCGCCGGAACCGCCGGAGCCGGGCAGAGAGGGATGGAGGGGGTTTGTGGGGGGGTGATCGCAGCCCGGCCGGCTGAGCCGCTTCTCGGCACGCAAAGGCACACAAAGTCGGCGAGCGGAGGGGATGGAACGAGTGACAGTTTTACGTCTCTCCACAGCCCCCTCCTCCTCCTCCTCCTCCTTTTTCTCTCCCTCCTCCTCCTCCACCGCCTTCCCCAAAATACGCACGGAGCAGCTTCCCCCCCCCAACCCCAGCCCCGCCGCCGCCAATCCGCCCTCGCAGCGCCGGGAGGGCGCCGGGGACTCCCGGCAGCGGCAACCCCCGCTCAGCTCCGCCCCGCCCGGCTGCTGGCAGCGGGCTCCGGCGGGCACAACCCCCCCCCCCCCCCAAAAGCGGCTGGGGGTGCCGCATCCCGAGCCGGTTCTGTGCCAAGCCCCGCAGGTGCCGTGGCGCTGCGGTCGGGACAGACTCACATGTCACATGCTCCCGAGCTCACCTCTTTGCACAGGGTGGCATCCGGCAGGTTGGCACCGGCTGGACCCGCGGAGGGTTTCACAAACATGAACTCGCTGATGTCCGATACCGGCGAAAAGCAGGAGCGATAAAGCGGGGCGGGGGGGGCCGTGGCTGTCACCTGGACGCCCATCACCGTGTCCCCTTGCTTAGGCTCATAATGCCAGCGCCCAAAAATGTGGCTGGGAGGGGGCTGAAGCGTATTCACGCTTTCCACGCAGCAGTTCTGGTTGGAAGATGCTGAGCCCCGCCGGAGGCACCGCACACCCAGTGTGACCAGTCCCACCAGTGAAATGGTGGAGATGAGCACTAGGGACACAATCAGGTAAAGGGTAATCGTGGGTAAGCCCCCACCATCAGTAGCACGAGCCTCAGAGCCCTGCAAGGCCTCTGGACCCTTCTCCTCCACCAGCACCACCAGTGTGACTGCTGTGGAGAGTGGGGGCTCCCCAGCATCCCGGACCACCACCAGCAGTTCGTGCTCAGAGGCATCCGTCTCCTGTAGGGCCCGTGTGATCCAGATCTCCCCGGAACGCAGGGTCACACTGAAAAGCCCTGGGTCTGTGGCTTCAGCGAGGTGATAGGAGAGCCAGGCATTGAGGCCAGAGTCCGCATCTATTGCCACCACCTTGGTGATGAGAGCAGGAGAGTTGGTGAAGGGGGAGATTCGGAACTGGGTAGCAGAGTCCTCCCCGGCCCTGGGGAAATGCACCTGTGGGGCATTGTCGTTCTGGTCCACTATAAAAATGTGAACCAGCGTCCTGTTCCTCAGGGCCGGGGAGCCACCATCGGAGACCTCCACATGGAACTGGAGATAGGTGGTCTGTTCATAGTCAAAAGGGAATTTGGCAGAGACCTGCCCACTTGTGGGATGTATGGAGAGGTAGCGAGTTGGATCCAGGCCTGGATCTGTCCCACCAGCTCGCAGGATGGTGTAGGAGAGGCGGGAATTCTGCTCCGAGTCAGGGTCAGCAGCAGAGATTGTAACCAGCACGCTGCCCACCGCATTGTTTTCTGCCACAAGCACTTCGTAGGATGCTTGCTCAAATTGGGGTGCATTGTCATTGACATCTGCCAGGACAATGGGCAAGATGGTGTGGCGGGAGAGTGGGGGCCTGCCCAGGTCAGAGGCAGAGATGGTGACGTTGTAGTAGGCAATATACTCCCGGTCCAAACGGGTACTGGTTAGCAGTGAGTACTGGTGCTCATAGTCCTTACGCAGCTGGAAAGGAAGATCTGGAGATAGATGACATTGGACCTTGCCCTGGTCACCCGAGTCCTTGTCTCTGACATGGATCACGGCCACCACAGTGCCTGGAGGTGCATCCTCACTCAGGGAGCTTGAGAATGAGGTAAGAATGACCTCTGGGGCATTGTCATTCACATCAGTGATTTCCACCACCACACTGCAGTGCTCCTCCATCGTGGGTGACCCCATGTCCTTGGCCTCCACTTCAATCTCATACACTGTTGCCTCTTCAAAGTCCAGGTTGCCCTGAACACGAATCTCCCCAGTTTGCTCATCGATGGCAAAGATCTGGCGTAAGGCAGCTGAATTGTGGCTGCTGAGGGAGTAGCGGATGTCTCCATTGGGCCCTTCATCCACATCGGTGGCATTTAATTTCACCACAAGGGTGCCCAATGGCGAGTTCTCCACCAAACGGGCTCCATACGATGGTTTGTCAAAGACTGGGTGGTTGTCATTGGCATCCAGGACCTGAATGGTGATGCGTGTCTTGCTGGACTTGGGTGGAGAGCCCCCATCTTCGGCTGTCAAGACCAGCTGGTGGAAAGCTCTGAGTTCCCTGTCCAGGGCCCTCTCCAGCACCAGCTCAGGGAACTTCCCACCATCTGTGCGTGCCTTCACGTTGAGGTTGAAGTTCTCATTGGCACTCAGGTGATAGGTCTGCAAGGTGTTGGTGCCCACATCAGCATCCTGGGCAGGCTGGATGGGGAAGCGGGCACCCAGGGAGGCCAGCTCATAGATCCGCAAGGAAACCTCATCACTGGGGAACACCGGGGGGTTGTCATTGATATCCAGGATCTCCACCTCAATGCGGTAAAACTCCACTGGGTTCTCAATGGCAAGTTTCAGGTGGAGGAAGCAGCGTGGGTTCTGCCCGCAGAGCTGCTCCCGGTCTATCCGCTCACTGACCATTATAACACCGGTGTTCACATTGACAGAGAAGTACTGCGAATCCGAGTCAGACAGTACCTGCAGATTAGCTGCCGCCAGTTTTGCCACATCGGTGCCCAGGTCCTTCGCGATATTGCCCACGAAGGCGCCCCGGGTGAGCTCCTCGGGGATGCTGTACCGGATCTGAGCAGAGGAGCTGTGCAGGAACAAACAGAAAGAGAAGACACGCGGCAGCCCCAGGGACCGGCCCGCCTTTCCCGCCCTCGGCATCCTTGCCGGGTGGGCGGCCGGGCCGCGCTCCCTTCCGCGCTCCGGGGCCGCGCTCAGCGCTCGCCGCTCCCATTCATTGTGCGGGGCGGACGCGGTCCACCGGGGGCGGGGGGCGCCGGGGCTCCGCGCAGCCGCCCCGCCATTGGCTCCGTACGCCGCACTGCTCCTCCAATCGCCGCTCTCCGTGCCCAGGACAGCAACAACGGCGCCAATCGCAACCCGCGGGCGGTTGCCGCGCGGCGCGAACCTGCGCGGCGCTTCCCCGAGCGGCGGCGGCGGCGGCGGCTCCGCGGTCCCCGCGCCAGGGCGGGAGCGAGGAGGGGGGGCCCCGGGGGAAGGCGCGGCACTGCCCTGTCCGGTCCGGTCCGGTCCGGCCCGGCGAGCCCCGCGCCGGCACCTCCTTCCCCCGCCCCTAGACTCTCACCTGGCCGCGGTCCCGCAGCGTACCGGCAGCGGAGAGGAAAGCCCCGGGTTCCCTCGGTAGGGTGGCGGGGCGGGGGCATGGCCGCAGGAAGGTGAAGTCGCTCCCCTCGGAGCCGGGGGAGAAGCAGGTGCTGTAGCACTGGGATGGGGAGTCGGTGGGTCGCAAGGTGACCTCCATGTACTTAAGGGTGCCGTCGGAGTTGAGCTGGAGCTTGGGGCTGGAGTGCTTGAAGAAGTCCCGGGACGGTGACTCATGGTGCCAGCAGCAGGGCGAGGCGGCAGCATGGCCTCTGCGCCGGAGGCACCGGGTGGCCAGGAGGGTGACGGTGGCGAGAGCCACAGTGCTAACGGCTGCCAGAGCGATGATCAGGTAGAGGGTTAGGTCCGGCTTTTCCTTGGCACCAGCCAGGAAGTCCCGAGGGCTGTAGCTCTCCTCCAGGGCTGCCTCCTCCAGGACCACAGTGATGGGGACAGTGGTGGAGAGTGGTGGGTCACCATTGTCCTTCACCTGGACAATAAGCTGCTGCGCTGTCATGTCAGTGTCTTTGAAGGTGCGTGCTGTCCGCACCTCCCCTGTGTACAGTGACACGTGGAACAAAGAGGGGTCAGTGGACTGTGGCAGCAGGTGGTATGAGAGCCAGGCATTATGCCCAGCATCTGCATCCACTGCTGTCACCTTGGTGACCAGGTAGCCTGGTGGGGCAGACAGTGGAACCCTCTGTGGTGCCGGGACATCGCTCTCACTGGCAGGGTGCAGGATGGTGGGGGCGTGGTCATTCTGGTCCAGCACGAAGATGTAGACAGTAACATTGGCACGGAGTGGGGGGGACCCCGAGTCCCGCACAGCCACAGAAACCGGCAGAACCTGCATCAGCTCAAAGTCAAAGGTGCGCTGAGCATAGAGGTTGCCATTGTCAGGGTTGATGTGGACGAAGGAAGAGGTGGGGGCACCCTGCACTTGCCCACTCTGTATGGAGTAAACAAGCCGGGAATTATCCCCGTCGTCAGGGTCTGAGGCAGAGACAGTGCACAGCAGGGAGCCAGGCGGGTTGTTCTCCAGGAGGAAAGCATCGTAGGAGGGCTGCAAGAAGCGGGGGGGGTTGTCATTCACATCAGATATGTTGAGGAGCAGCGTGAGCGTTGTGGTGAGAGCAGGAGACCCACCATCCTGGGCAATCAGCACCACTCCATACCGTGAGGTGGACTCTCGGTCCAGAGTCTCCCGGGTGACCAGGGAGAAGTGGTTCTGCAGGGACCTGATGGCAAAAGGCACATCAGAAGAGATCCCCAAACTCACATCCCCACTGGCCCCCGAGTCTCTGTCCCGTACGTTGAAGAGCCCCACGACTGTCTCCGGTGGGGTATCTTCTGGCACTGGGTTCAGCAGGGAAGTGACCAGGACCTCGGGGGGGTTGTCATTGGCATCCTCCACTTCCACTCGCAGTACACAGTGGCCCTCCATCTCCGGGACCCCTCCATCATGGGCTCGCACATAAATCTCATAGAAAGGTGATTCCTCAAAGTCCAGGGCCCCACTTATCCGGACCTCCCCGCTGCGGGGATCCAGGGCAAAAAGCCTCCGGACTGAGTCAGAAGTGTGAACCCCAAAGGAATACTGTATCTCCCCATTGGGACCCTCATCAGGGTCGGATGCATTGAGACGGAGGAGCAGAGCCCCCACAGGTGTGTTTTCCGGGACTTGCACCTTATACGTGGCACGGTCAAAGGTGGGTGCATTGTCATTGACATCCAGGACCAGAATTGTTATCTGTGCCGTGCCCGAGCGGGCTGGGCTTCCCCCGTCCATGGCTGTCAGGACCAGCTGCAGTTCTGGCTCCTCTTCCCGGTCCAGGGCACGCTCCAGCACCAGCTCCGGGAAGAGTTTGCCATCCTGCTGCTGCTTGACGTCCAGGGAGAAGTGGGAGTTGGGACTTAGCCGGTAGGAACCTACAGCATTGGTGCCCACATCGGGGTCCTGCGCGCTCTCCAGGGGGAAGCGCGTAGCCACTGTGGCAGACTCAGCGATGCGCAGGGTGCGGTGAGAGGTGGGGAAGCTCGGGGAGTTGTCATTCAGGTCCAGGATCTCCACTTCCAGGCGGAAGAGCTGCAGGGGGTTCTCTGTCACCACCTGCACCGACAGCACGCAGCTGACAGCCGCTCCGCACAGACGCTCCCGGTCCAGCTGCTGGCTCACCACCAGCGCGCCACTGTCCAGGCGCACGGCGAAGTAGCGCTGGCTCTCCTCTGAGCCCAGGCGCAGCCTGCGACCCGGCAGCTCCTCCACCTTCAAGCCCAGGTCCCGGGCCACGTTCCCCACCATGGTTCCCACCTCCGACTCCTCAACCACCGAGTAGTGGATCTGCCCGGAGACCCAGCCCCAGCCGCAGAGCAAAAACAAACTCAGTACTTGCCATTTCCAGGCGGGTCGCTGGAGGCTGACTCTTTCCATGTCCGTGTGCGTCCGGCCTGGGACTCAGCAGGCTCTGGGGAGCTGAGAAAAAATCCCTGGGTCTCTCTCTTCCACGGCTTGGAAAACAGCTCCGGGGCTCCGGCAGGCTGCGGCTCCGGCTGTCAGCCTCTGAGCAGAGGGGGTGGGCTGGGGGAGGGGAACTGAATCACAGCCCCAGCGCGGAGGTGGGGGGGGGGGGGGGGGGGGAGAGAAGCAGATTTCTCCCCCCCCCGCTTCAGATCAGCGCCCAATTGGCCGGGAGCTCCGTCCCCTCTCAGCCAGGAGTTGCTATCAGGAGGTGCGGGAAGCAGGGGCCCGAGCCGGCGGCACCAGCAGGGCTGCCACCCCCGGCCTCCCCTCCACCAGCCTGAGTCACTTGCTCCCACAGCTCGCTTCTCGTTCGCAGGGAAACTGCACGTCCTGGTAGCCTGGAAGTTAGGTACAAGCCCTCCCTGTGTACTCCCCCTTCCACAATGGTGGCTTCACATCGCACCCACAGACAAAGGGCAGCTGTCACGAACACGGGCCAAAGGACTTTTCATGCCTGATGAAAAGGTACTTGTTAGAGCCCTGAGGTTTCAGGGGCTGTTCTCCCACTCCTTTTCCCCCCCTCAGCTAATGCTTTGGCCACTGCCTTCACCCCGTTACTGCCTCTGTAAGTGAGGTATCACTGCCACCAGTACCGCCATCAGCTAGGGGACCTCTCACCGAGACAGGAACACCCAGCTTTGCCAGGGTCCCGTGGGTGTTGGAAGAAGAAGGTGGGAAGGCAGAGCTGGATGAGCCATTCAAAGCCAGAATGCAATTGCTTCCCATGCACACCTGGCTGAATGCCACTTCTTCACCCTGGGACAAGGCAGGGGTCAACCTTCACAGTACCTAAGTCACTAACACACAGAGTCAGGCAACAAGCCCACCAGACCACCACCAGATTACAACATCGGGTCAGGATGTCACACTGGGAAGAAGGTCCAAGCATCCCACCTGGCAAACACACTTACTGAAATTCTGCTTTGCAGACAAGCAATCTCCTGGAGAGCAAAAGCAAGGTTCTCAGCCTTGCCTGTGGGAAGCATCACAGTAATTTCCCCCTCTCCCTGTATCAGAGGATGACGGCAAGCTACGGGGTGTTAGCTCAGTTCACATCCCTGCAGAAGCCTTGTGCAGTTACACCCTGGAGTCCTGTCCTCGGTGCACTCAAGACCACCCTGACCCCCCTTCAGTGCACATAGACCTTGGGGGGCTGGGGTCCATAGCAGTGCGACAGGCAGGGGACTCAGCTTCTGCCTGGAACCCTGCCTATCCCCAGTGCCTGGGCACAAAGGGGACCTGGGGGAACAGGCAAGAGAGGCTGGGAACACCTATGCACGGTGCACGGTGCACCGTGACAGGGACACCATACTTCTGGGAAATGACAGAGGCGGCGGAGATGCTCTGCAGCACATCCCCCCCATACACACACCCCCCACCCCCAGTCCAAGAGGCATGGGGCGGCACAACGCTGCTGCCAGTCAGGGAAAGACAGAGCAAGGAACCTCCCGATTAGTGCAGAACGCGGCCCGAGTCCCACCTACTGCCTGCGCTGGAAAGCGGGGAGGGGGGGGGAGGCGGCTGGGTGAGAGAGAAAAGACATTCTTAAAGGGCCAGAGCAGCAAAAAGCTAGACAGGTGGATTCCCTACGTCCAGAAACCAATACCTGCTTGGATGTACTCATTCCCTGAGGGCTTCTGATGGTGTCACCATCAAGTTCCAGTAACCTTGACTCTGGAATGTGCCCTGTCCCCATCCCAGGCAGAGTCCAGGCCAGCACACCTGGGTGACAGACATTGCCACTGGCAACACGGGGTGCAGAACCCCTGGAAAGGGGTTTGGTGCTGCTGCGGTGGCTCAGCAGAAGCCCTCTACGAAGCTCACATGGTCTGGGAGAACCCCCTCAGTGTCCCAAGGTGGCTCAGTCACCAAGGGGCTGGAGCAAAGGGCAGGCTTCACAAGGGGGATCCTGCTGTTGCTTGAGTCTGCCAAAGCCCGGGATGGTGATGATGGTGAGGCAGGAAGCGAATGGGATGTCTCGGATAGAGGAGATATCCCTCTTCCAGAAGGCCAGAACTCACCTGTAGAAAGGTTCTGACCAAGGCAACCCAGGTAGCTGAGAGATCAGGGCAGGATCCCTCAGGGCAGGACAAGCCACCTGCCGTAGATGGGGCCAGCACCATCCCCACTGCATTGGTTTGGGGGTCTGGCTGTTGCCCTGCAGAGCAAAGAAGTATAAAGCCTTTGCAGGCTTGACATGGTTCGTGGCACTGGGCTGAATCTTCTGTCACCAGAGAGACTGCAAATTCAGGGCTCAGTGCCAGCTGGAGCTCGAGTTACCACCTGCCCATTATCACCTCCTTCCTAATCATTTACTGTCCCCAGCCGCAGAGGCATCTTGCCAGGACCCTTTGGTGCAGGGGACATCCTTGCCCCCAGCTGTAGAACAGCCCACACAATACAGAGGAACACTTGCTCCTGCAGCTGCTGCAGCCATTCCCATCTGCCAGAAATCAGAAGTGCTGAGTATGAGCAGCGGGGGGGGGGGGGGGGGGGGGCGGGAAAAAAGAAAGCCATAAAAATAATTCTGAGAGGTTTCTGCCTCCGTCTGTGATTTGGCCGCAGTGAGCAGGCGGCACACGCAGCCTCACACCCGTGCACAGCTTCCGCTGCACCTCACTTCCTTCTGCTCTAAGGAACTGGTCATTCCTACTCACAGCCTCCCGAGGACGCATTACTGGCACCAACCACCTCGGAAACCCATCAGATGTCCCCCCGATTCCACTGGATCCACCACCCAGCCTCATCATAAAGGATCAAAGCATTGCTAGAATTGAAAGCTCTCAAATTAAGATGCACAATTCCCAGCGGGGAAGAAGCACAGAAGCTGCCTGCCATGCGCAAATGCCTTCCTGGCTACTGTTTGTTTAGTCAGGATATTAGACATCACCCAGAGATAGCATATGACAAATCATACAGAGCTTGTAATAGGGTTGTTTAAACACCACCTGCATGGAAGGCTCACCCATCCTGCTCAGAGCTACAATCCAGCATGATGGAACCCTGCAAGCTACTGGGGCAGTCTGCAATGCCACCCCCCAACACTGAAGTCAACATCATCACAAAACCTCTACAGAAACAAAATCAGAACCATCAGGAGTCAAACATAAAGCAAGACATGGATGGGAAGGACTGCTCTGTGGCCACAGACCATCAAACGGAGGAACCAGCCTTGTCCTTTGGCTTTGCATGCTACACCGTGGGAAGCAGCACACTGGTTTTCCAGTGGGATGGTGGCTTCCAGCCCCATTTGCACCACCAGCTCCTCAGCCCACACCAGAGCATGACGTAGAGTGGCGACGTTCCCCTCCCAGCCCCTGACCCCACCAAGTACTCCCCTCGTCTCTCATTTTGCAGAGGGAAGAATTTACCATTTGCAGCAAACTTTCTGCCAAGGAATTGCAAGTTATTGCAAGCTGATCTCAGCTTCCATCGGTTACTCATGCAAGGCGTACCCAAAACTGCATCTGAAAGACCTATGTTTGCTCACCTCAGCAAACTGACTCACTTGATCCTGCTCACTGCAGTGCAAATGTCATCAACACGATGGCTCATTTAACTCCAGAGAAGACCTGTTCAGCTATTGCTAAATGCTCTTCAGAGGCATGGCGCAACTGGATATTCCCCCCAACCCCAATCCACTATCATATGCATATGGCACAAGTGAACCATGGCTCTGCCCAGCACTGGGACACGCCAAGGAAGGAGCTACATTACCTCAGCAGGTGTGGGGAGACGGCTTGCAGTGCCCACAATCTGGTGGTACAGCCCTGGCTCACCATTCCTTATGGTGCTCTGGCGGCTCCCCAGGGGGCTGGAAGAGAAGGGCTTTTTACACAGGACATCACTCTGGCGAGAGTCTGTGGTGAGATACACCTGATGGTACAAGTTGGGTGGCATGAAGCCACCCCGCACAGCATCAACGTGGTGGAAGGGCCCAGGTGTCCTGTACAGGGTGCTCCTGGAACTGTTGTACAGCTCCTTGGACTGCCTCCACTTGTAGCACTTGAAGATGCCTACTGACAACATGGTGATGAAGAAAGCTGCTGACACTAAGATCACAGCCAGGATGAGATAGAAGGTCACATGCCTCTTGGGATCATTGGCAGGTGACACTTCAGTGAGATCAGTGAGCACCTCCTTGACCATCTCAGCCACAGAGATGGAGACAGTGGCACTGGCAGACAGCACAGGCTCCCCATGGTCTTTGAGCAGGATAACTAGGGTGTGCTGGAGAGCATCATCGTCCCGGAGCTGGCGGGCTGTGAAGATCTCCCCGTTGTGCAGCCCAACTGAGAAAAGGCTGGGGTCAGTGGCCTGCAACAGGGTATAGGAGATCCATGCATTGTACCCTGCATCTGAATCCACTGCCACCACCTTGGTGACCATGTGCCCGGCAGGAGTGCCTGGTGCCACCACATCAGTATAGGTGGCATTGGCATTGGGGTGAGGGTACAGCACAGTTGGGGCATTGTCATTGAGGTCAGTGACAAACACACTGACTGAGACATTAGTGGCCAGAGGTGGAGAGCCACCATCCTGGACCTGCACAGTCATGCTGAACTCCACCTGGTCCTCATGGTCCAGAGACGTGAGCAGGTAGAGGGTGCCATTCTCCCGGTTGATAGAGAAGAGGTGGCCTACATTGGAATCACCCTGCAAGAGGGTATAGGAGAGATGGGCATTGCGCCCAAGGTCTGGGTCTGTGGCGCTGACATTAAGAATGGGAATGCCAGGCATGTTGTTCTCCAGCACGTACACATCGTATGAGTCCTGGGAAGACTTGGGCGCATTGTCATTGACATCTGATACCTGCACCAGGATCTGTTTTGCCACAGACAAGGGTGGTGAGCCCGAGTCCTTGGCTGTGACAGTGATGTTATACTCTGATGTCTTCTCCCGGTCCAGAGCTGCTTTTGTTTTCAGTGTGTAGTAATTTTTGAGGGAGGAGCTGAGCATGAAGGGGATCCCAGGGGAAATGAAGCAGTTCACCAGACCGTTGTCATGGGAGTCCAAGTCGGTTACACTCAGCAGAGCTACGACCGTCCCTGGGGCTGCATCTTCAGGCACAGGGCTGTACACAGAAGTCACTGTCACCTCTGGAGCATTGTCATTCACATCCAAAACTTCCACCAGCACTTTGCAATGAGCCACACCAGGAACAGCACCCTTGTCTTTAGCCTGTAAGTAAATCTCGTACAGCTTTGTTTCCTCATAGTCCAGCTGTCCCTTGACCCTCAGCTCCCCTGTGGCCGAGTCCAGAGCAAAGAGTTCTCGTACCTTGGCAGGTGTGTGGCTGCTGAAGGAATAGATGATGTCTCCATTGGGCCCATCATCAAGATCATACGCACTAATCCTGGCAACCAAGGTACCACTGGGCGTATTCTCCCTCACACTTGCCTTGTAGGTGGATTGGTTGAAGACTGGAGCGTTATCATTGGCGTCCACGACATCAATGTGGATCTGCACGTGGGCCGACCGTGGCGGGCTGCCTCCATCCAGTGCGGTCAAGACCAAGTGCAACTCCCGTTGCTCCTCCCTGTCTAGCTCCTTCTCCAGCACCAGCTCTGCATACTTGCTGCCATCCACCCTCGTCTGCACGTCGAGCACAAAGTGGGGGTTGGAGCTGAGCTGGTAGGTCTGCAAAGAGTTAATCCCCACATCGGGGTCTTGCGCGCTCTCTAGCGGGAAGCGAGCTCCCGCCGCCACCGACTCGCTGATTTCCAGCCTCGCCTGGCTGCTGGGAAAAACCGGGTCGTTGTCATTGATGTCCTGAATCTCCACGGCGCCGCTGTACAGCTCCAGCGGGTTTTCCACCACGATCTCAAAGCTGAGG